GTAAACATTATTAGTAGTGTTGAGCACAAAAATCTAGTCAAGTTGTTGGGTTGCAGTTTCTCGGGACCTGAAAGTCTTCTTGTATATGAATATTTACCACACAAGAGTCTCGATTTCTTTATTTTTGGTAAGTACTAGATCTGGAATTAAGGGCAATATATTTTTTGATATAAGAATAGTTTCTCAGGTTGCTGGTTTAGAATCTCGACTTGGAATTCTATATGATTATGCATTCCTTTTGAATCCGTGTTTGGCAGTGATAAAATGGTCAATAGATATGCTGTTATATATTGAATTTGATAGATTTCAGCAGAGGCAAAACTCTAAACTGGGAGAAGAGATTTGAGATAATTATAGGGACTGCAGAAGGGTTGATGTACCTTCATGAAAACACAAAAACCAGAATAGTTCACAGAGACATCAAAGCAAGTAATATCCTCTTGGACTCAAGATTCCATGCTAAAATTGCCGATTTTGGGTTGGCAAGGTCTTTTCAAGAAGACAAAAGTCATATTAGCACCGCCATCGCTGGAACATTGTGAGTTTTGTCTTTTTATTCTAAAGTCTACTCCCCAATATAGACACCAAATTTAAACACTGATTCTTCAATTTTAAAATATGCAGAGGATATATGGCTCCAGAATACTTAGCCCGTGGCCAGTTGACAGAAAAAGCAGATGTATATAGCTTTGGTGTACTTCTTATTGAAATTGTCACTGGGAGGCAGAACAACAGGAGCAAAGCTTCTGAGGACTCGGATAGCTCATTAACACTAGTAAGTTCTCAAATCTCCATCTCTTTTTTATGTATGTCAAAAATCATTACAAGATGGAATCTATTACGTGTATCTTAGTTTCACAAGTTCCATAATCACAGACTTCACAGTTCTGTCATAGTTATACTATTTGTAGTCCTCCAAGATGAAGTTGTAGCTATATCCAACTATTATGATAGAGATAATCACCACATAAAATCTTGATCCAGTTGGCAGGACTATTGCCAGGGAAATTTGCATCCACACAGGGTCTAAAGAAATTCTCATTTGGGATATCGGTTGCAGCAATAATCTGGCTAGAACTTAACAGGATTATATACTACTTGCTAAATAGAATTGCATTATGTACTAATTGTCTCACCACCTCCTAGGATTGCTGGATGTGACTCGTGCCGTAAATGTTTCCATCTTCCTTTCAAAAGCCTTATTAGCCTCAAGTTTCAGCTTCTCCATTGTTTTTAGATAAAAAAGCTGATCCAGTATAATATATGTCCTAGTAGACCTACAATGCTTTTAAATCTCCTGTTGATTCTCAAGATGCTGAAAGTCATTAACACTAGGTCCTTATATCTACTTCTCTCAATATCATTAACTACGATAGTGTTGTAGTCACGTGTCCTTTCATTTAAACTTCAGAAACTCCTTATAGCTAATTTGAATTGCTTGGCTCCTAGCAAAATCGTAACTGCATTTTTTATACCATCCAAGTCTTCTGAGCATGTTTGAACTGTTGAAAAATAGAGAGAGCTTGCATGATAAGAGCACAGAGAGTTCTTAGGCTCCCTTGAGCACCCCATTTCTTCTCTTTGCAAACAATCACCTGCCTATATCGTGTTATCTACTCTCTCCTCATAACCATGATCTCTGTGTACTTCTATAACAACGTGTATATTTATGAGTTTTTATCACTCACTAGATTCTTCAACTCTTGGCTAATGCTAAGGAATATGTTGACCCCAAAAAATGAGCTTAATAGATATCGGGCCCACTCTTGCCGTGTCAAGTACGGTTCCAGCACGTTTCTACCGGAATGCAATCGGTGGCTTTAATGTTCATGAACGTGGGAGATACTTT